TCATATGTAGCATCTTGCCTAGAAGGGGAGTAGGAAATGAATGGTTGTCTAGGGCAATTGGTGTAAATTGCTGGCTAGACAGATACTGCAAGGAACTTGCAATCCCCATTCATTGACAACTGGAACAACTTTTATGGCAAACATGATATGTATGCAAGGGATGGGTACATCTCTCTGGGCTGGGGTGGTAGCACTTGCAGACTCGATTGAGAAGGCCATTGGTGAAATGCCTATGATTTTAAACTGATGGAAGATAGAGGTATGGGTGTGTGTGGGAAACAAGCAGGTTGCAACACTAGGGTTGGAAACAGTAAATGTATAAAAGGCATTCAGCATGAAGTTATAAATAAAGACAATAGAACAGGTCAGCAAACAAAGGGGGACAGCAGAGGGCAGCAAGGGACTAGCTCCCTTAAGGTTTACTATACTAATAGCAGGAGTGTTAGAAATAAGATAGATGAGCTAAGATTAATTGCAAGTGCAGGAAACATAGATATTATTGCTATAACAGAGACCTGGCTCAATCTGAAAGATAGAGAGATGCCCTCTGAATGTCACATACAAGGCTATAAATTATTCCACACTGACAGGGTCAACAGGAAAGGTGGTGGAGTAGCGATGTATATCAGAGACAATTTAAATTGTTGTGTTAGACAAGATATTAAATTAGAAGCGTCAGCCACTGAATCTGTTTGGTTACAGCTTCTCGAGGGCCGAGAAAAACTAATTTTGGGTGTGATTTACAGGGCCCCAAATCTTGATAGGGAGTGCAGTAAACTTCTATGGGACGAAATTCGTAAGGCATCTACATACGAAAATGTTGTGCTAATGGGAATTTCAACTATAGACAGATTGACTGGAGCAATTTGACAGGAAATTTAGAGTCGGGTGACTTTCTTGATACGATCCAGGATTGTTTTTTAAAACAGTTTGTGACAGAGCCAACTAGGGGTAATAACCTCCTTGACTTGGTTCTTGCCAGTAGGGAAACACTAATTAATAATCTTGAGGTTAATGATGAGCTTGGGGAGAGTGATCACAAATCACTCAGTTTTAACATATCATGGAATTCCCCTAATAATGGCAATCAAGTCTCCGTCCCTGACTTTCGCTTGGCTGATTTCATAGGACTGAAAAATTACTTAGGTGGGCTGAACTGGAATGACCTGACTAGGGGTCAGGTAGGTGGTGATGGTTGCCGATGTGATGCTTTCCAGGGCATAGTTCTGGCTGCTCAGTCAAATTATGTTCCAAATAGGGAAATCAGATCAAACAAAAATGATCCTAAATGGATGAACAATAGATTAAAATATCTGATTGGTCAAAAGAGAGGCATATATAGGCAAATCAAAAGAGGAGAGGGGCAATTAAGAAATCGATATATTCAGTTAAAGAGAGAAATAAAAAAGGGAATTAGAAAAGCAAATAGAGATTATGAGGTTAAAGTTGCAAGAGAATCGAAGACTAACCAAAAGGATTCTTTCAGGTATACAGAAGTAAGATCAGGACAAGATAGGGCCACTCAAAAGTTCCTCGGGTCAGCTCACTGACAGTGATAAGGAAAAGTGTAGAATTTTTAACACATACTTCCTCTCAGTTTTTACACAGGAGGATACCAGCGATATTCCAGTAATGATAAATTATGTAGAACAGGACGATAATAAACTGTGCACTATTAGGGTCACAAGTGACATGGTCCTTAGGCAAATAGATAAATTAAAAACTAACAAATCCCCAGGCCCTGATGAACTGTATGCAAGGGTTCTAAAGGAATGTAAAGAGGAGCTTAGCACACCTTTGGCTAATCTTTTCAACATATCACTACAAACTGGCATGGTGCCAGAGATAAGTGGAAAATGGCAAATGTGATTCCTATTTTCAAACAGGTGACAGGTCCATAGCTTCGAACTATAGACCAATAAGCCCAACCTCCATAGTGGGAAAATTTATGGAATCAATAATTGCCCAGGCAGTTCGTAGCCACCTTGAAAAGCATAAATTAATCACAAATCTCAGCATGGTTTTACAAAGGGGGTTCCTGCCTTACGAATTTATTAACTTTTTCACTAAGGTATTTGAGGAGGTAGTCATGGTAATGAATATGTATTGTGTATTGGACTTCAGTAAGGCTTTTGACAGGGTCCCACATCAGAGACAAATTGAGGAAAATTAAAGCACAGGGAAATAGGGGAGAAATTTTTTCCTGGATAGAGGCATGGTTGACAAATAGGCAGCAGAGAGTTTGCAAAAAAGGGAGAAATCAGAGTGGGGAAGGCGTCACGAGCGGTGTTCCACAGGGGTCGTTTTGGGGCCCCCCTGCTGTTCACAATCTCATAAACGACATAGATGAGGGCATAAAGAGCGACATCGGCAAGTTTGCCGATGACACCAAAATAGGCCGTCGAATTCATTCTGACGAGGACATTCGAGCACTCCAGGAAGATTTGAATAGACTGATTTCAGTGGTCGGAGAAGTGGCAGATGCAGTTTAATATAGACAAATGCAAAGTTCTAAATGTTGGACAGGGCAATAACCATGCCACATATAAACTAAATAATGTAGATCTTAATATTACGGATTGCGAAAAAGATTTAGGAGTTCTGGTTAGCAGTAATCTGAAACCAAGACAACAGTGCAAAGTGTTCGCAATAAAGCTAATAGAATCCTTGGCTTCATATCAAGAAGCATAAATAATAGGAGTCCTCAGGTTGTTCTTCAACTCTATACATCCTTGGTTAGGCCCCATTTAGATTATGCTGCACAGTTTTGGTCACCGTATTTCAGAATGGATATAAATTCTCTGGAAAATGTACAAAGGAGGATGACAAGATGATCCCATGTATCAGAAACCTTCCCTAAAGAGGATAGACTAAAGGGGCCCCGAAACTGCACTCTCTAGAAAGACGTAGAATTAGGGGGGATATGATTGAGGTGTATAAGTGGAAAAACAGAATAAATAAAAGGGGGTGCAATAGTGTGCTGAAAAAATCTAGCCTAGACAGGACTCGCAGCAATGGTTTTAAGTTGGAAAAAATTTAGATTCAGGAGGGATATAGGAAAGTACTGGTTTGGTAATAGAGTTGTGGATGAGTGGAACAAACTCCCAAGTACCGTTATAGAGGCCAGAACGTTGTGTAGCTTTAAAAATAGGTTGGATAAATACATGAGTAGATGTGGGTGGGTGTGAGTTAGACCTGATAGCTTGTGCTAACAGGTCGGTTGCCGTGTTCCTCCCTTAAGTCAATGTGACCTGACCTGACTAGGTTGGGTGCATTGGCTTAAGCCGGTAGGAGACTTGGACCTGCCTCGCATGGGCCAGTAGGCCTTCTGCAGTGTTCCTTCGTTCTTATGTTCTTATGTTAAATAAAGTTTGCTCTACCAAGTGTCCTCTTACCAGCTGCAAGGGTGAGATAGGGAAGAGGGAGCCTGACGTGGACACAGGTAGCCAGAGTCGTCAGACAAGGAGGGAGAGAAGGAATGAGAAAGGCAGGCAGGTAATACCCCCACCTTGGCCAACTCCGGGAATAAGCAGAGGGGTAACTATTACAACCTGTTCAGAAACACTATTTATCAGTAGCTTCGTCTTGGCTCTACGTCAAGGACATCCCTCCAGCCACCACCTACCAGCACCCACCTTCCTCCCTTCGCATGTTTCCCTTCTGCAACATGTTCTCACAACAAATGCTTTTAAGGGAAATTAGTATTAAGCTTATTAATATTGAGCGTAGTCTCTCAAATACACATGGAGGACATACATGACGGCAAAAGACTCAGACGAGGCATAAGAACATTAGGAAGCATTTCTTTTTTTCAATCTTAGAAGGGAAGAAGAGGTGGTGGATTCAAACTGTTGTATATACAGGTTTAGGTAAGAGTAGATAAGATCTGGCCCTGTAGGTAAAAATTTATAAAATCGGCCAATAAAATTTACGAGCGGGGCCAGGAGCTGTTACCAGGGCTCTCAAAGCAACTAGCTGAATATTTGAATACTCACAACATTGAGTAATAACACGATTGCAAAAAAAACACAGAACGGGTGGGGTTTGAATCCATGACAAGTGAGTTTTAAAACTCCAGGCCAGCTGACCCAGTGACTTACGCACTGGCCTGGAGTTTTACGACTCACTCGCCATGGGTTCAAACCCCACCCGTTACATGATTGTTTTTTAACATTGAGTATATAGAGATGAGTCACAAGCATAACACACAAGTAATAAGCAATATTGTTTGCCACGGTTTGTTATGTTAAGTTTGGTACAGACTAGTCTGAGCATTTCCCCTGCACTCTAGTGTTAACTGTGCCACTCCGCTGACTTCGGCGACCCTAAATTTAACAACCTACACCTGTGTCACCTCCTTCTAGAACCTCAAGCAGCATGTCCTTCTTTCACACAAGATATACCGACAAGTGTATAAGATACACTTGCTCAGCGTTACGCAACTTTAATAAGGGAAAAATTTCTCCCACCAGGGGCTCTGTCAGTTCGGTCAGTGGACTGATGAAGCCCCTGGTGGGGGAAATATTTCCTAATAACGTTACCTAACGTTGCACAAGTGTATTTTATGTAGCCTATCCCCAGAACGAAAGTTTGGTTTCCAATGTATTTACGACAGAGTACAGGCTGTTGCAGCATGTCTACTAACCTAAACAATCCAGGTCCTACTCACACTTAACTATTACCTTACTACTAATCTATTTTTTGTGTATAGATTTACTGTCTTCCCATTGTGTCCTTGAATTTGTATTGATAAAGCCACTAAATGGGGAAACGTCTACAATAGATACCCAGATGTTACACATGTCTATTCTTCATCATTTTTTTTTTAAAGCTATACAAGGTATTTCCTTCAATGACTATTTGGCATTTGGTTCTTGTCATCTGCAGCTTTGTTGTGGCGGGGGTTGCAGCTCGAGTCGTCTCTGTACTTTTTCCTCTGCCAACACTTGGGACACGAGTGTTTATGTACTACCACTGACTTGTTTCTTTTTGTGTTTCAGGGGTCTGACCCGAGATTGCAGACATGCCGAGGGAAGTTACAAAACCGCCGCTCAAAACTCAATCAGGAGATCAACAAGGAACTTATGTTGAGAGCTGGAGCTGAGAACCTCTACAAGTGAGTACTACCTCTAGGTCTTGAAGCTTAAGGCTGTCAAAGTTTTGCACACTGACAGGATTGCTGTCAGTTTCTTTCTGTCCCATGGACACAGTTTCAAGTCTTACAAACTTTTTACATTCAGTAAACACTTCTTGCTTATACATTTATATACGAATGTGCGTGAATATATAGTTGAACTGTAAATGAAAAAGAAAGATTTAGAAAGGGTAGGAAATGTTTGGACCAAGTGTTTGCACATAAACAATACACAGATAAATGTAAGTATTTCTTTGTCGCATTTATAGATTTAGAAAAGGTGTATGATAGGGTGGATAGAATTGCAGTGTAGTTGGTATTGCAAATATACGGAATAGTGTTAGATTATTGAAAGATATGAAGTGATTTTATGAGAAGAGTGAGGCTAAGGTTAGCTTATGCAAGTGAGATGGGAACAATTGTCCAGCACAATTAGACCTTAAACAGGAATGTGGGATTTACCGTCGTTGTTTAATGTGTTTATGAGGTTGTATAAGACGCATATGCTGGTAAAGTGTGGCCTGCAATTATAGTGAATCATTTTTGTTGACACGTTTTTTTGGAGGATTCGTAAGAAAAGTTGCAAAGTTTGGGAGGGTATGTAAAAAGGAAAATTGAAAGTCAGCCTAGAAAAGGGCAAGGTGATAGTAAGAAAAACCCTAGGCAATGAAAGATTGGATGTCAACTTTGAGGTAGGGAGTATGGAGGAAGTAAATATATTTAGACATTTGAGAGTGAACTTGTCGACGAATGAGTCTACGAAAGACTGTGAACCATAGAATAGACAAAATAAAACATGTATAAGAGTGTTAAGACGTCTGAGGAAAAGAGAATTTCATCAGTGAAGGCAAGATGGGGAATTTCCCAGAGTTTAGTGGTACCAACACTTTTGCATTGTTGTCAGGCATGATCACTGAATGTTGCAGAAAGGAGGAAAGAGGCAGTAAAGAGTTATTTTAGAGATCAGTGTGTGGTGTGAATATTACTCAGAGAATTAGGAGCTAATAATTTAAAAGATGTGTTAGCAAAGGCATAATTCAGATGACAAGAGCTGTTGAGGATAGGTTGACCAAGAGGGCGTATAAAGCTAGGATGGATTTGTACCACTCAGAGCCTCCAGTCCTTTCGTCCCGGAAAGGGTTGGTTGTTTTGAGTTGTAGGAGGTTGACCATGCAGGAGGTATATTTGAGCGAGTAGAAACAATTAATATTTTGGATTTTACGTGCTGTTGGAGTGTAAACACGGTAACATTCATGAACTCAGGAAAACCAATTAGCCAAACTTGAGTTCCTGAGGTGGGAAGTACAGTGCCTGCACTCTGAAGGATAAGTGGGGATGTTGCAGTTTAAAGAATGATTCGAATTGTATTGTCCGAGCAATTTGGCAAGACATCCAGTGTTTTGAATGAGTGAAAATGAATGTTTCCTTCTTTGGGTCACTGCCTTGTTTGGGAGTGGCCGATATATATATATATATATATATATATAATATATATTATATAATATATATATATATATATATATATATATATATATATAATATGTAGTGCCAAATAAGTAAAACTTGCGATTTTGGCTTAAATAACAACACACTTCTTGCCGAATAGGGCAAGCGAAATTTTGTATATGCAGTAATTTCGAAAAAATCATTCTGATTCCAACGAAAAAAATATATTTCATTGTTTATTATTAAATTATTGTAAACTTATATACAATATATTTAGTTGGATTAGGCTAAATTAAATTACGCTTGTTATAATAAGGTTAGGTAAGTTTCCTAAGGTTCTTTTGGTACAAAATCATTAATTTTTATATTAGCATAAATGAAAAAAATATGTCTTTAAAGGTATAAGAAATTTTTTTTAGAAAGGTTTTAATTTTAAACGAGTTCTTGCTAATTGACCAGCTTTACCTATATATATATATATATATATATATATATATATATATATATATATATATATATATATATATATATATATATATATATTGTGTATATATATTGGAGAGGGAAGGTGAAGAGTGGGTGGGTTGGTGAAGGAGGGTGAGGGAGGTAGAGCAAGGGTGAAGGTGAGCTGGGAGGGCAGGTGAGTCTCAGGTACCGTAGTGTGCACGCATTATTGCACGGGGCGCGGCCCTTAGGTGCACCCCGGACGGGGGAAGGGGTGGTGGTGGTTGGTGATAGTGATGCGACAGCAGCTGTTGCAACAGCAGCAGCGGCTGCTGCTGCTGCTGCTGCTGCGGCTGCGGCGGCTTCAAGGCCAGATGGACTCTGATGCTTCTGCTCCCACCCTCCTCCCTGGATCTTCTACCCTCCCTTATCCCCTCCCTCCCTCCATTACTACTCAAGCACCTACCTATTTGCATACTTACCTGCCTCTTTTCCTGTCTTTCTACGTACTTACCTAGTTATACCTGTGATCAGTTTCAAGGGTTTAATCTCGTCTCGCAGCCTGGCTTGTTGCCAGACTGTACGATTCACTGCTTGATAAGCCAAACTATTGCTACCTGCAGCCCTCAGATCCACATATTATGAACCAGCTGGTTGGACACATTAAGTGATAGATTGATAAATTAGACACGTGTGCAACATTTGGGTATCTTTATTGTGAAAACGCTTCGCTACACAATGGCTTCATCAGTCCAATACAAAGAAGAACGGTGAAGATCAGAAGGAGGTTTAGGTAATCAGTCCCTCAACCTGGAGTCGATATAATCGACTCCAGGCATAAAGGCTGCAAGAATTATTACCATCCTCAAAAAATTGCGAAATGTCAAATTTTGGAAGAGGGGAAAGTGGTGTTTTCCCCTCTTTCACCTCTTCAGGTAATTTTCCCTTCTTCACCCCCTCACTCAGTAATTAATAAAAATGGTTATAATTGACCATAATTTTTAAAGGGGTGAACCGGTAAGCCAGCGGTAGACCTCGGTCAGATGACCAAAGCTCCAAAGGCGGGTCATCATCTGACTAAGACCCGTGTCAGGAAACACTTGTCCTGTTTCCTGACAAACCTTACCTAACCTAACCTAACTCAGTAATTTTCCCCTCTTCACCCCCTCTTCCAGTAGTTTCACCCTCTCTTCCAGCCATTTTTTCCTCTCTGTATCCCATTTTCCCAGTATTTTTCCTCTCTACACCTTGAAAGTCTTCCACCTCCTCACTATCTTCTGGAAGGAACTTGACAAGTTTCTCATGGCAGTTACCCTTGACTAGCCGGACTGTGGTGCTTATGGTGGACTGCATGTTACCAGCATCCATAGTCTGACTGATCTTAGTCTGGCCTGGAACTGCTTTTATTAGGTATTCTGCACTTCCTCTAGTATCTCTCACTCAGGTAACTCATACTCTAGTATTTCTCACTCCAGTATATCTCACTCCGGTATCTGTCACTCCGGTATCTCTCTCTAGTTTCTCCCGGTCCAGTATAACTCGCTTCAGTATCTCTCATTCCTGCATTTCTCACTAGTATTTCTTACTCTAGTATTTCTTACTCTAGTATTTCTTACTCTAGTATTTCTTACTCTAGTATTTCTTACTCTAGTATTTCTTACTCTAGTATTTCTTACTCTAGTATTTCTTACTCCAGTATTTCTCACTCCAGTATTTCTCACGCCAGTATTTCTCACGCCAGTATTTCTCACGCCAGTATTTCTCACGCCAGTATTTCTCACGCCAGTATTTCTCACGCCAGTATTTCTCACGCCAGTATTTCTCACGCCAGTATTTCTCACGCCAGTATTTCTTACTCCAGTATTTCTCACTCCAGTATCTCCCACTCCAGTATCTCCCACTCCAGTATCTCCCACTCCAGTATCTCCCACTCCGGAATCTCCCACTCCGGAATCTCTTACTTTGGTATCTCTCACTCCAATGAGCTGTTACGGTAGTGTGCAGATTAGCTACGTGGCCTTCGAATATTTTCCTTGTATGGATTATCTCTCTCTCTCTCTCTCTCTCTCTCTCTCTCTCTCTCTCTCTCTCTCTCTCTCTCTCTCTCTCTCTCTCTCTCTCTCTCTCTCTCTCTCATAATTATTTTACTGATAGATCTATGAGCAGCAAATGATCTGTATTTTTTTTTACCTCGGATATTGCACCCGTTTTAAAGTTAGATGTGAGTAGGGAAGAGTATTCTAGACGAGACTAGTCACAACTTGGGAGGAGAGGCGCTGCGGAGATCTAAGAATAAATATCACATCAATCCTATCACCAAACGTATATATAAACTGTAAAATTTAAAGCATATGCAAAATTTACTAACCAAAGAATTGCTTTCATGAACCTTCAAGATGGACCTTAGGATCCACCTTGCAGTATGCGGCGCCAGCATGAAACAGCACCTGATGAAGAATTAGACACATGTGCAATATGTGGCTATCTTTATTGTATACGTTTCACTATCCAGTGGCTTTATCACTGGCAAAACGTCTACGGTAAAGATACCCAGATGTTGCACATGTCCAATTCTTCATCTTGTCGGTAATATATACCATACGTGTACGTATAACAAGCATACAATAACACCCGATAATACGTGGAACAGAGAACATGATCAGTACGTACACATCACAAAGAGAATTTGATAGAATGGATAGGGACAGTCTGATTGAGATGCATGGAGAGGAAGCCAGGGGACATTGATAGCAGCTAAAGACCTAGATGAAACAGTGACGGTGGGGACATACTATATGAAGAGACTACGAAGACATACTATACACAGGGTCAAGAGTATGTGCAAACAGGCTCTAGGGGCCACAAATAAGTAAAACCGGTTGATAGGGGCCAGGAGCTATGAATCGCCTCGTACTAGCACATCTAGGTGCCAACAAACACAAACAAACACGAGACCCACCACAAACAACTCGTTTAAGTGTATACACGTGAACAAGTTTTTCCACTCTGAAGGTCTCCTGGTTGCTACGTGCGAGCGAGCCAGTGAGCGTGCGTGCGGGTTTGGCTGAATTTCTAACCTGGTGGCTGTCCCTCCTGTGTTGTGGAATAGGACATGGAAACACGACTAGCTTTTGTTTCCACTATACTGTAGCTTATTATAAGAGAGTAGTATAACCGCATTATGCGGGGTGTATCCATTCGTTTTAAATGAAAAATCACAAGCTAGAGAAAGGATAAATTATTTTAATGGGTAAACAAATCCACTAAAATATTTTTTTTCTAACTTGGCAAATTTCTTGAGGCCAGTCATGGTGTAGGAGCTGCGTGATGTAGTGTCAAGCCAATAGAAGAACTTTTGTCATCCTCGAGTAACCAATCAGAGAATCTTAACTCCTTTCCAAGGAGACTGAGAGTCGAGATATGAAGTAGTGTAGTTCTTGACTTGGAAGACGGTATTTCCCGATCGTTCTCAGTCGCTCGTAAGCAAGAATAGTAACTGGACTCAACTTAAAAAAAAAATCATAAAAAAATATGAAAGCTAAGATACAACTCACAAAAGTAAAAAGGCTTTAGAAAGGATGAACCCAAAACATACTAGAAGGTCCTCAAAATCCATTATTTCCATAACACTCTAAATCCGTTTGGGTCATTCTGCTCAAGGAGTGGCGGAGGGTCGACCCTCTTGCTA